GCAAAAAAGCCCAGGAGAGGCTGATCCAGGAATCCCTTGCTCAGTCGACTGAGACCAGTGTGGAAGATGAGGGGAGGAGCCTGTCTGAGTCACCGCAGTTGTTACCATCCTCCTCCCAGCAATCCGAAAGATAGCAATGATATAAATGAGAAAAGAGATTCGAACGATGCTAATGGGTGTGATGGGGAAGGTGGTTCTAATGCTCTTGCAGGAGAGGAACAACTCAAGATTGATTCATTGAATGGAAGTGAAGGAGCACAGTCTACTGCAAAGTTGAGTGTGGATGGAACGGAGGAGTCAGCTGTGGCAGTTGCTGAGCCCCAAAACATGAATTTGGAGACCGAGGTCACCCAAGAATCTCAGAGTATCTCAGACGCAACAAGACCAGAGACTGAAAAGGACGCAAAAAATACGGAAGGAGCAAGTGAATCCAACAAGAAAACAATAAACACAACAACAACAGTAACAGACAAAGACATCAAAAAAGTCATTAAGGACATCCACACCATTGATGTCTCTCCGGCAAGAGTGGGAGGCCTCCTGGCCAGCCTTGACGATCCTGAGCTGGCCAAGAGGTGCTCTGAACTTGCCCAGGAAATCAAGATCATGGCCCACCCTGTACACAAGATGTCCTTTAGGGAGTGAGTGTTTTTTTCTTTTTTTCTTTTTTTAAGAGGTAGAGGGAGGAGTGTTCTTTTATTTATCTATCTTTATATTATTTGTTTTTCTGTTTTTTTTCTGTAAGGCATTGATTCTCTGAATGGCTTTGCATTTCATTTTTCACTTTACTTCTGTGCTCCTTATCTTATATTTTTTTTTCTTTGTTTTCATGTATTTTCTTCTGGTGTATATATTCATATTTGTATATATATTTATTGTGTGTGTTTGGACATTATACTGTAATATTAATCATAATGATTAGGCTAAGAAAATGGTAGTAGCAGTAGTAATAGTAATAGATTTTTATGATTAATTTTGAAATTATTTATTTGTTTTTCATTTTATTTCTCCTTATTTCTCTATTTGTTTCCTAATGAGAACTTCGGTTGCTCTCTTTCATTCCAGATACTGTGACCATATGATCACCCCAGAAGTGGACTCGGCAGTCAAGACCCTGGTGACGATGCTGGTGAAGTTCCAGGAACGGCAGTATCAGCGCGATCCCATAAAGGCCAAAATCAGGTGAGTAGGTGTGCCATGGAATTCAGTAGACTATGTGTTTTAATATTTTCTTCTGTTCTGGATGAGAGGGGATGTGGGGAGGTGTGTAGTGCAATTCTGATTTTTTTTATTACTTTTTCATTTATGTATTTTTCAGCCTGTTAATTATATCTATTTTCTTATTGTGTGTTGCATATTTGATTATTTGTTACTGTAGTTATTATCTATTTATTTAAATGCACGTATGTGTTATTTGATGTATGTTTCTTTTAGTGTATTCAGGTTTGCTGGTACCAGACTGAAACGTTCTTACACATGCAGGCAAGTTATTTTAAAAAGCCATAACTTGTGCAGAAAAAATTTCAGTTTGTTCAAAAATGAGCGGTTCATTGTTGCACAACTGTTGCTTTGCTTTATGTAAGGTTAGTGATGGACAATACATTATTTGTACCACATGCCACTGGGGATGCCATGGGCGTACATTACATGCCCACTATGTGTTTAATTTAGTAATTGTTTTCACACATAGTTGGCTGCACAAGTACTCTGTAACTACCTGGCTCACCTGTTTCCCCTTTTTCTTGATTTTTGATAGTATTTTCTGGTGTTTAATATTGCTCTTAGTAATGTCACTAATGCTATAGTAATTATGATGTTTATGATAAGAATAACAGTATCAATATTGATAGCATTAGTAAAAATAAGTGTTTTTCTTGCAAACTCAAGGAAAGATGAAATCAGCTGAAGTCACAAAGTCTACTAATTAACTCCTTTGTGGCTAAGCACTGGTAGAGCCACCTATCTGTAGAGACATTTCACAAGACAGTACTATAAGGAACAGAACATTTTCCTGGGGGTATTGGGTGAAAGGGAGTTGTCATTGATAGCACAACCTAGTATGGTTCAGTTCAGTTCAAAGAGGCAGTTCGACAACTTTGCATGGCCAGTAAATAAGAATGGGAAAACTGCGTGGTGAAAACAGAAAAGCAATATATTTGCAGTTTCCAGTCTGGTGCGTGGATTGATGTTATAGATTATTTTGTATACATTTTTTCACTTTTACAATTGTTTGCCTGTTTTATTGACCAAAATATTAGTCATTCTATTTCATTGCAATAACAAAGATAACAGTAATGTAAATGATGCATGACACAGCTTATCTGATTAGTCTTGGTTCTTCCTTTCTCACAGACGGAGATACGTGTGTGGCCTGAAGGAAGCGACAAAACTGATGACAAAGATGTCTTGTGTCATTGTCGCGCCTGACATTCAGCGCAGCAGAGGGCCTGGTAATCTTTTTGTCTTTATTGTCGTGTATGATGTGTAGCAACAATTTTTATTTTTGATGCAACTATGTGTGCAGGTATTGTTTATAGGTAAAACTATTATTATTTTTTAAATCTATCATAAGCCTGTTAAGTATTTTATGACCTATTACAGGCCTCCTAGATGAAGTGGTGGCCAAGATGCTGAACCGTGCGAGGGAGAGTGGTGTGCCTCTCATCTTTGCCCTCTCCCTGAAGATGCTGGGGAAGCTGTGTCACAAAAGTGTACCTGTGAGCTGCATTGGCATAATAAATTACCAGGGAGCTCAGGTGAGGCTGGGGGGAAGAGATGGAAGAGGAATACAAGCTGAAAGTTGTTTTATTTTTTTGTTTATGTCGGGATACTGTGTTTTGTTGTGTTTTTGTTTGTGCAGCTGTTATTTTTGATGAATTATTGTTTACTGCTATATTCTGTGAGGCTAAATAGGATAATTTTCTTGCTAGTTAGTATATATTTTTATTGATTTTTCTTATTCATTGTAATTTTTTTCATCACCTGAATGTTTGCTTTCATGTTTTTTGCTATTTGAAAAGGGTATGTATGGTGGGAAGAATACATGACATAGTTTTTAGAGATGGTTGCCGTATTAGTTTTGGGAGTTAATTTATGGATATTAAATATTCAAATTTTGGTAACCAAATAACTAGATATCCTCATAAAAAAGGTAAATAGATAAATGATAGATCACTGAATCAGCCACCACTTGTACAAATGAAGGCTAACGCAATATCTCCATTCTTTCAGGACGTCTTCAATCAGTTGATGGAGCTAGTACCAGCAGCCAAGGCCAAGTACCAAGCTCTCGTCAATACTGGACTGTGTACTGTACCTGCTGAAGGCGAAAGACTCTCGGATGAGGAGAAAGAGCCTGAAGGATCCTCCTCAAAAGATGCTGTGACCTCGTAATTTGTTATTTTTTTACGTCGAGGCATAGGGTTTGTGTGTGATGACTGTGAGTGAGTTCGGTGAGGGTACTTTGGTGGCTGTGATTGGTACTGACTGTACATGTTGCCTCTAAATGGCTTTCAGGGATTGTAACTGATGCTTGTAGGTGACTAATTCGAGGCCTGGGAATGGCTGTGTGTTAAATAATTAATATGTAAGTGATATTTTGTTATTTACAATTACAAGCAAATGTGCAGAATCTATTCTCATCAGTATAGATGGGAAAAAATGCTATTGAAATTTGAAACGGTTTACACGATAAAAGAATATTAGCTTATTGTATTATTGGTGACTTTGAAAAGTATTATTTTACTTTTTTAGGAAATGCTTTGAAATTTGTGAAAACTGTATATAAAAGGGAAAAAAACTGAAATATATATGCAGATATATTGTCCAGTAGGGGATATGATTTTGAAAAGTATTTTTAGTATTATTTTGATAATATTTTTCCCCCCAAGTGTGCAAGTGATAGTCATTACTGAAAATTAAAAAACGCTTTGAGATAGCATTTACATGAAAAACTGAAATTTATTACTGGATTATGCTCTACTTAATGACATATAATTTCTTGTCAAATGTTTTATTTATTTATTAATGTTCCACTTTATAATACCTCTTTCTTCAACTTTTATTTTTCTTCATCTTACTCAAGAAATAGTTTACAATTTTTTTTCTTCTTCATCTTACTCAAGAAATAGTTTACAATTTTTTCTTCTTCATCTTACTCAAGAAATAGTTTACATCAAGACATTATTACTTTTGTGCTCAGGATGCCTTTCAGATGATCTTGAGAGATCATAGTACATACAGTAGCCTTATGGAGTACAATTTCTCTTGAAAATGTTTGCCCCAGTTTGGACTCGGAAGGTTATACTATGACTTCAAGATATTTTTCAATAAAGAGGGTATGGTTTGTTTCCAAGAATCTTTATTCAGTTAATGTTTTCTTCTCGTATGCCAAAAGACATTTAGATAATTTGTCTTTCTTGAAGACCCCAAGACAGGCATGAGAGGAATGGATGATAGAATTTGATATTTATTTTGTAGATGTAGAAAGACCATTATATCTGGTTGGATTCCTGGAACCAGAATACGTGAAATAAGAGAAAAAAATACAAATTGAAAAAGTTCACGTAACAGTAAAATCAGCAGTTTATTAATTTAAAAGAAATATGAGATAAATATTTTAATGAAACTCCAAGGAACTTTTTGTAGATTATGGTGCATTATTATATGAAATGCCAAAGTCTTCCAATCAGTTATGAAAAAGGGAATAATATGATAAACAATTTTTTTCCTTGGCTTAGCTTCATTTAATCTATACTTCTTGAGAAATGAGTGCAATAAAATAATGGTGTAAAAGTAACCCTAAGTGTATTAATCCCTGGGAGTAAGTAAACTTATTGAATTGAAAAAGAATTACTAAAGACGCTGATGTTTTTCTCGCTTTCCAAATCTGTCAGCATGGCATCCTACATTTACATCTCGGTAACTACTATACTTGTATATATATCCCATTGGAAGCATTGTACATTTTACATGCATGCATTATCTATGGGAGGGTGGTTCGGTATTCATCATTTTGGTGTTCGTTATATAATATTATCACGTATTGCAGTAGTTCTCTCATTGTGAAGAAATATAAGAATGTAATGAATTTTATGAGCTAGCCTAACTGCAAACTAACAGGTGGGTTCCAGGACTTTCATGTTTGGGGATCCAGCATTGATATGAACTAGAGATCAGGTTTTGAAAAATTATTGGGAGATTGACAGGTGATATAAACATACTCATTTAATTGATGACAACTCATTTTGCCTACCCTCCCCCCCCCAAAAAAAAAAAAAAAGAAATAAAAAATAAAAAAGTAAATAATAATCTAGGTGCAGACATGGCTAGGGTCCTTTAAAAAAAAATATGTCAGATTTTGATATTGTACAATTTGTTTGAATGTATATATCTCTTGGAAATAACTGGTGAGACAGTTCTAATTTTTGTGTAGCTATTTATTTTTTTATCTTTTGTTACTGGCACATTTTCTACTGAATCATGTAGTAGCACACGCATCAAGTGTTTCAAGAAAGACGAGGGACTGAATAAGTAGGTCGTAAAAAATAGACGAGCTGAAAATCACAAGTAATGTGCATAATGAACTTAATGTGCCTAGTGAGTAATGTGAACATAATGTGCATAGTGAATTATGTGAATATAATATATATTGAAAATCATATGAACATGATGAATGATGAAAATAGTAAATATTACCATCTGTGCAGGTTGGATATTTTGTGATTGTTTTAAGAACTAGAAAGATTTTGCAGTGTTGACTTTCTTGTTACCATTAATGTATTTTTTTGCAGAAAAAGGTATGAATGAGAATAAATAATTTCACAGCAAAGAAGATATGATTAAAATGTGTGAAATTCATCTTGTGCTGTGAGCTTATTCCTTCTTAATCATATATATGTATATTTTTGTCTATTACATAGAGATAATGCATTTTCTTAGTATTATTTACTTACTTGTAATAATAACAATAATATTGATGATGACGGTTCTTTTACTCTTACTCTTAATCTTACTATCATTATTGTTATTTCTATTACTGTTACGTCTGTTGCTATTGCTATTACTGTTATTATTACTTTTATTATTATTACTTTATATACTATTATTATGGCCATTGCTCTTACTATTATTATTACTGTTACCTTTACTGTTATTATGGCTTTTGCTATTACGATTACCACCAATATTATTAATACTGTAAATTATTATTATTGTCATCATAACTTTACTTTCAGTTCTACTTGTCGAATTGACTGTTCTTATTTTTAATGTTTGTAGTTATTTCTAAGGAAGAATGATCAATATTCTTTCAAAAATAAAAACCCACAGTGGACGCTAATAGATTTATAAGATAAAAAGCACAATACACCTATTTGTAAATACAGTTCATCAGTGTGTGTAATATGTGACAATTTCATGTACCTGTATTTGTAACTGAACCTCATGGATTACAAAGACAATGCTGTGCAAGTTTGATAAGCAGTTACAAAAAATAAGTGATTGTCTGTTTTTATTTTTTGTGTGTTTTTTTTTCTTTTTATTTTATGGGAGAAGGGAAAGAGTTTTTGGATTGGGGAATGGACTTTGTTTTTTCCTTTTTATAGATTCGACAAAAAAATCTATATTTTTGACATTGGATAAAAGGGCTGTGATTACTGAATTGTATAGAAATTCATAAATATGAAACTATATAGAAATATATGTATATACAGTAAAAAAAATACTTTATTTATTTCCCATACAGTTATGCATTAAGATTAATTTTGTTCTTTAAAAGCTAAATTTCATACACAATCCTAAAAGCAGTCACATATCAAGAGATAAATTAATTCTTTGATCACCTTCTAAGGCATCAGAGACAGGAGCAATCTGGATTCACTTCAGGGAAATCCACAGCAGACTGTATCATAGTGTATTGAGTCATCGTGGAATGTCGTTATGAGTTGGTTGTGGGCTGCTAGCAGACAACATCAACCTCAAGAAGGCATTTGACTAGGTGCATTGCAAAGCGCAATGGGAAATCCTGAGCCTTAGGGGAATTTCAGCATGGATCATGGGACTAACAGAAAGCCTATATATGGGTACTGAAAGTGCTTTAGAATGTGGTGGGGACCTGCCAAGCCTCTTGGATATTAACTCAGGAGTGAGTATAGGCTGTGTTCTTTTGCCAACACTTTTCAACATTTGCATAGACATGATAATGGGCAGTGCTACTAACCAGAGTCATTGTGGAGCATCACTGGGCAATATCAAGCTCACAGACCTTGACAGTTTTCCTATATTACCAGAATCTCTTGAATCATTGGCTTAGAGGCTCTTATGCATTCAGCAATGAGGACAAACTCTTAGGACTGGAGGTCTCCGTGATCAAGACCAATATCCAGGATTTTGCGGGTCTGCTAGAGCAACCTGTTTAGCTGATTCATGCTTGTGACAAGGACACGGAAATCACGGAGAGGTTTATATACCTTGGTAGTGTGGTTCATGTCTGGGCTGTCA